TGGAATGTGGATATGTGTTTCTATTTGTCATAAAGAGGGTTTAGAGTTCAAAGCGGGAGGTTTTATGGTAATTAGCTGAATATGGTTTCTTCTATTTAAAGAGTGATGTTATTGGCAGAGAAAGTGGAAGCTTGGTGTTGCTAGGGTCAGTTTCTAGGGATTTGTGCAGGCTATTATTGATGGCAATAGTTATTTACAAGACCACGACTCAATCTCAGGAAAGATTCCTGTTGTTAGGGAGTTGCAACTTTCCGCCAGGCTCAGGAACACTCAAAGACCCCATTTCCGAGGCCCCTCAGTCCAAAGAGCCAATCCAAGGCAAATTTCCGGGTCCACACTCAGTTGTGGCTTCCTCTCTCTCTCCCCACCCCATCTGCCCGCAGCACTGGCACAATCCTGCCAGATTGCTAATGTCTCTGGAGTTTGTCTGTGATACCACCCACCTGTAGTGCCAAAGATGTGTACAATTTCAGCTGTGTTGGAGTCAGGGGAGTACCTGCTAGTAAACTGTGGTGCCGATATCCATGACAAAGATAAGCACGTCTCCCAGGCTGATCCAAGCCCACTCCATGACCCGCTGAGAGGGGAGGAAGCTCGCCTTCCTGGAACTAAAGTGAGCTCTCCTCTTGAGTCTCAGTGGTTGTGCCTGCACCCACCTGCACCCAGATGACCCAAATTACTGACAAAATCAGGTGCTGGAGGCAGATCCCTGGGGCTGCCCACTGGGATACTGGAGTGGTCGCTGGTATGCTGCTGTATGGTGTCTTCTTTCTTGGCTCACGGGGATCTCAGATGGCTGGCCTCGCCCGCCAGTCAGTGACTGCCCCAGAGAAGTTTCTGATGGCCTCTCACCTGCCCATCCGTCCTCTGCCAGGTAGCTCTTTCTTAAATAATCTCCCTGTGCCTTTCCTCTAATTCTGCCCTTCTGTGTTTGGTGCACTCTAATTCAGTGAGCTGTTCAGAGCAGAAAAATCCCTAATTCAAACTACTGTACCTAGTTTTTCAAGCACTTAGATACTAGAGGGAAATAGCATGGTGCTTACTGACAAGACTCCATTTTGAATCTTCCTATTTCAACTATTTTAATACCTAGTATTTCCACACCTTTCTTGTTCTTTCTTCATCTTGGTAATGTTGTTCTTGTTGTGTGCCATCGAGTCTGACCCGACTCATAGTGACCCCTCCTTGGGCTTCTGAGGCAGTGTCACCACAGAAGTAGATTGCCCAACCTTCCTTCCAAGGAGTGGCTGGTGGGTTTGAACCACCAGCCTTCTGGTTAGCAGTCAAGTCCCTTAGGCACTACACTACCAGAGCATCCCTTAATTGTTTTAAGTGTTATTTCAATCATTGATCCATCAGTTCTGATGATTCTACCACTGATCAGACTCATTGCTCAAATTGTAGTTGATCACATTATTTTGACCTATGAGCTCATTTTTTAAGAGGTGGGGATATCAATGATTCTGGTGATGTGCATTGGGAATTCGTACAGATCAGGCCCTGATCTACATCACTTTAGCTGCATTTAAGCATGGAGACTAGGAGGTGGAGCCCAGGTGGAGTTCAATGGCTCCAGAGAATTGTTTTTGAATCATTCATTGCTTTATCTTCCTATACAACTCCTCCTATAATCTCTTAGGAAAAATCTGTATTTGGAGGAGTTTGTCTCCCTGAGTTAGGGGTTGGGGATACAGAAGTGAATGCTCTGAGAAATGGCCAGCTCACATCTGTTTTCACTATTCTCTCACCTCATCAGGGCTTTTGCCTTGTCACTTAGCTTGGGCTGTTACTGTCACTTCCTGTAGTGAAGGAGGAGCAATGGTACCCCCAGGGCAATGTGGAAGAGATGCAGAAGCAGATCTGAAAAATTTCCCTCCAGCCTGTTCTGAGTCCTTTAGTCAGCACTGGTTGCAACTATCCAGTTGCCACGTGCAACCTGCCAAGGCAGTCTTCTTGTGCCAAGATCCTCATAGTGGATGGTTGTTGACACTGCTGTTCCTGAAAGTCCCAGCTTCCTCTCACTTCTATATTTCTTCCCAGTTGACTTTGGAGAGGGAGCCAGCAACTCATGCTACTCAACCATCTTGATAGGAAGTCCATGTGGGGGATCTTTTGCAGGGGTAAAGACTTCTGGCTCTCTGATTATCTCGATCTATCTTTTCCCACTGCAAGTGTGATGGACAGTGGCCTTCTCATTATTAGCAGGTGGCTCTAGCCCTGGGCCTGGCTTCCTTCTACTTCTAATCAGTGACCATCTACCCCTAAACTTTCCCAAGATGAATAAGGAGATGGATTTTGCAGGCCTGGCCTCAGGAGAGACTCCATTCTTGTGGCTACACATAAAAAACTAGCTCAATGGATCCTGATGTCCTCTCTGCTCTGAAAGCAGCAGTGTGGTCTGGAAAAGCTAAGTGCCATCACAGATCATGCCCTCTCTGTTAACTGATCTGTGCTCTACTTTCTGAGATCATTCATTGTCATTCTCATTGTCTCAATCTCAAAACTAAAGCCTACCATGTAGAAAAGGCCCTAAAGACCACCTAGTCCAGGAGCTTTCAACCTCAGTCATGCTACAATCACCTGGGGAATTTTCCAAATATCAGTATCTGGCTTCCAATCTCCTCCCCAGTTAAATCAAAATCTCTGGGTAGTACTTGACACAGGTGTTTTTGAAACTCCCCAGGAGATTAAAATGTGCAGCCCAGGTGATGAGCAACTACTTTCCAATACCTTCACTGTAGTAATGCCCAGAGAGGAGAATTAACTTGCCTGAGACCACAGAGTACTTTAGGCCTAATCTTCCTTGCTCTGTCTCACTATCATCCCTTTCTATCGATATTAATGAGTTCAAATCAGAGATCCTGATTTATTTTCTTTCTTATTCAGTTATGCTTACAAGATTGGCTAAAATAGAGCCTCTTGCTTACTGCTAAATATGATTGTGTGACACTGCTCTTACACAGCATCCTCATCCACACTGTGGGAATCTTCTGGGCTACAGCCACTTCCATATCAGGGCCTGTGGCACCCCCAACTCCCACCAGTGCCTCAATCAGCTGCCCTCTGGGACAGGTGCAGAACAGACTTTTGGCCAGAAGACTTTTGGGTTTGTTGTCAGGTCTAGACTTGAATCCTGGCCCCACCTTGCAAACTTTCTTGAACCTATTTCCTCATCTGCAATAATGGACAATAATATCTGATGCCATAGTTGGGATTACTCTAAAACTTAAGCTTTGGGAGCTTTTTCATAGATCCCTTCCAAGACCCTGGGAGGGGCTCTAGCAATTCTGTATTTGTATTTTTAAAAATATGAATCAGATTCAGACCTCACAAAACCTGCACCTGCCTCTCAGCCCCTCAAAGTTTGCTATGGTGGTTAAATGAGAATTTGTTCATAAAATGTGGGGCAAGTGTTCCATGAATATAAATTCATTCCACAACAGCTCAGAAGAGGGACAGAAGGACACAATAGCAGGCTGTGTACTCATTGTATGTTGCTTTTAATGTCCCACTGAAGGCCATAAGACAGCCCAGATCTCATTCCAAGGGCAAGTAGGAGGGACAATGCTATGGAGTCTGGCTTTCAAGGGAAGCTTCCTTGGCCCCAACATGGCTATGGATCCAGTCAAGGTAGTGGCTGACTTTGGTGTAGATGCCATAGTTGTGCAGGCGCCCACAGCCCTCACCCCAGCTAACAAGGCCCACCAGGAACCAAGTACCATGGAAGGAAGTGACCATGGGCCCACCACTGTCACCCTCACAGGCATCCCGTGGGTCCCCAAGGATGCCTGCGCACAGCATGTTCTCCGAGATCACATTGTGCATGGCCTGGATGCACTCATTGCGTGGGGCCAAGGGAATCTTAATAAAGCTGAGGATGAAGGTATGGTTCTTCTTGGTCTCGCTGCCATAGCCCCAGCCTGTCACCACCATCTCCTGGCCAACCTGGGTGAGCTCACGCTCTGAGAGACCACTGTCTGGAAGGCAGATTGGCACAATGGTTTGTGAGAGGGTGGCAGGCCTGGCCAGGCGCAGCAGTGCGATGTCATTGTCAGACGTGCTCCTGCTGTAGTTGGGGTGGATGAAAACACTCTGGATGTTCAGGTCTTTTTCCCACTTCTCCCAGCGCCGCAGATCGTACTCCCCTGCAGGGGTAGGGATGGTGGGTCAGAGTGGGCAGGGAGAACCTCTAGAAGGGCCTACTGTATTCACTGTCCTGAGGCCACTGTCTGCACCCAAGATGCCTAGTAAGATTGGTGTCTATCCCAATGAGGAATAATGCTGCTCTGAATACAGGGCTCACTTACAGACCCAGTGACTGCAGGTGGATAGCATGGCCAGAGAAGTAACTGTCCTTGGTTAATCTCAGGGAAGCCCCAGGCTCCCTGGGGACCTGCTGACACAGACCAGAGTCACAAAGGGAATGTGGAACAATTATAGTTGGAAAGATGAGCAGAGAGGGCCTGAGTACTAGAAAGGGACCCTGTAGGGGATGGGAGCAGTGAGAGAAGATTGACAGGATGCACCAGGGGAAGAAATATCTAGAGCACACAGAGATAGTTTTCTCAAGCAGGACTGATGGATCCACCAGTGAAGGGAAAGGAAGAGCTGGAAATCCCAAGCTGAAGGTAACTATAAGAGTATGAATTCTCTTTTTCTTCTTTTTTGCATAAAGACTTGTGAGACTCCCTCTAGAAATTGTTATAAGCTGGGGCCTAGCCTTCAAGGGCCCCCAGACCTGCAGAAAAGGCTTTAGTCTAGCATGGAAATGACAGGGGGAAGCTCACTGTATGGGCCGATGCCAGGCAGTGTGAAAGCCTGCAAGCCTCTGCTGTGCAAGGACACCAGTGGTCCACATATAGCCTATGCAACCTGGATGGGAGGGAAGAGCCCAGTGTATGTGCAATCTTTTTCCTTAAAACACCAGTGTGCACATGCCTTCACTCAGACTGTACCCAGATTTAAAGGGGCTGCAGACAATCTCCTACCTACAGTATATTGAGTGTTATTGCATAGGCTGCCCACCCTCAACCTGTGGAGCTCAAGTAGCCTCTTACTCGAGCATCCTGGAGATCAGGGTCCTTGAAACCTGGACAGCCTGCCTGGCCCCACCCTTTTCTAGGGACCCCGCCTGGCTGTGGCCCACACCGAGTCTGACGATGAGCTTCTTGGTGCCTTCCATGCAGTGGGCCGCAGTTAGCACCCAGGAGGGGTGGATGAGCACTGCCCCGCAGGCCAGCTTCTTCTTGGAGTCCAGCAGGATCCCCTGCAAGTCGGGGGTGGGGTGTTGACATTACAGTGCAGCCTCTGATACCTTCACATCCAAGATCCCTGGGGTCTCAGAGCTGCCACAGCATGCCAGGGGTGCTGGCTGCACTAACTAAGCCTTTCCTGGGCTCCCTGGTCATGTGGGCAAAGACTTAGTGTCCCTTTCTTGGCATTTCCTAGCTCTGTATTTGTCACAGCCATAGCTTTTTCCAAGGCTTTGTAGCCTGTTCCTGCCTTCACCCATGCTGTTGCTGTGGTTATCCTCAACCACACCCAGCAGCACCCTCAGAGTTCTTCTGGGCCTTGGGGGCTGGAGCCAGAACAAGCAATCTCTGGGAAGCCCTCTGGGCTTCCACAGTTGTGCTGCCTCCATCCTGGCTCTGGTCTCACTGAGTGGCCATCTGTGTAGGGGCTCAACCCTCCCAGAGTCTGTGAGCTGCCCCAGGCCAGGGACTGCATGCTGATTTCTGTACCCCCAGTGTCTGACAGAGAAGGGAACTAACTCAGTGTCAATTCCCATGTTGAGACTGGAGAGGTATTCAGAGGCCAAGCCTTGCTCATAGCCTCTCCCCTGCAAAACACCACTTCTATGAGCTGGGTTTCTGCCATAAATCCCATAAGTACATCTCTTTTTAAAAAAATGCACAGCTCTTCCTCAGGTTACCTCCATTCTCTATGATACGATGTTACCACCACCACTTCTGCCCCATTCAAATCAAGCCAGTACTTCCTCTCACATGTCTGCATACTAAACAGAAAATACTAGTTGCCTCCTCTCACCTGCCAGGGACTCTCTCCCCATCCGGACAACTTCCCATTGACAAGACGTGGATCAACTTGGTCTACATCACGCTTCAAATTACTGCGCTTCTTCTTCACTGTCTTCCCACATGGAAATTTCACTGGAGGGAGAGGACAAGCATGAGGGCCATTGGGCACACTCTCCCAAGATGGCTTCTCCCATTTTAACCCACCTCTTACTTGCAGGTCAGTTTGCTGCACTGTGAGGTTAAAAAGAATAAATAGTGCAAAGTGCTTAGACACTCAATATTAGCTCCAAATACTATAAGTCAGTCAGTAAATTAGTCAGTCAACAAAGAGTGCCACCTAATGGAAAGAGTCAGACCAAGCAGCAACAACTGCCTAGCTGTGCGTTCTTGCATAGACTGTTAAACTTCTCTGAACTCCAGGTCCCTAATTTGTAAGACAGGAACTCTGATAGCATAGTGCCTAAGGCACTTGACTGCTAACCAGAAGGCTGATGGTTCAAACCCACCAGCCACTCCTCGGAAGGAAGGTTGAGCAATCTACTTCCCTAGTGATACTGCCTCGGAAACCCAAGGAGGGGTCGCTATGAGTCGGTCTGACTCGATGGCAAATAACAACACACCAACAACAATTTGTAAGACAGAGCTATTCCCACCCATGTCTAAGGGCTGTTGGGAGTATACCCCAAGACACAACATAAGCGGTTTGCTAGGATGCTTTTCAAGTTCCTAACAGAGGTGAGCAAATATATGCTGAGCAAAATTTGAGAAACTGGATTATATAAGAAGAATGTGGCATCAGGATTGCAGGATTAACAACCTGTGATAGGCTGACAACACAACTTTGCTTGCTGAAAGTGAGGATGACTTGAAGCACTTACTGATGGCGATTGAAGACTACAGTCTGTAGTATGGATTACACCTCCATATAAAGAGGCGTAATGCTCTTATCCCAATATAAAGAGATTACACCTAAATATAAACAAAAATCCTCACAACTGGACCAATAACAGCATCACAATAAATGCAGAAAAGATAGAAGTTGTCAAAGACTTAATATTACTTGGTTCTACAATCAACACCAATGGAACCAGCAGTTGAGACATCAGCCGTCATATAGCATTGGGTAAATCTGCTGCAAAAGACCTCTTTCAAAAGTGCTGATGAACAAATGTCATCATATAATGATTGAAGGATCAATTGATCATGAAAATATAACCATAATAAATATCTATGGACCCAATGAAAGGGCCCCAAAATACATAATTCAGACTTTAAGAGTTGAAAAGCCAAATAGATGACTCGACTCTCATAGTGGGAGATTTTAATACACCACTTTCTTTGAAAGATAGAACAACTGGAAAGAAACTCAAAAAAGATGCAGAAGAGCTAAATAAAACACTCCACCAATTGGGCCTTATAGACATCTACAGAGCACTTCACCCAACAGCGACACAATATACAT